TCCACAATATCTCCGAAGTACGGTATGCGGCGAGACTCTTGAGACAGTCAATAAATGGTAACCAGTTTTATAAATATTGTAAAACGCAGATCTGAAATACTGATACTCGTTGGATGAATAGGTTTCAAGGTGTCCTTTGAAAGCTAAGAATTCATTGTATTCGCCATTTTAATAAGATTTTTGTCATTTCCGCTTTTAAACGTTTTAACCGTTAAGAAATGTGACAAACAATAAGTTGCTAGGCAAAAAATGAATTGAACAATCTATTACAAACGACTTGTCAGTTGTTTGTGGGAGCCAGCTGGCAAGAATGTGGAGCCAGATGTGTTTATCAGCCTGTACTGTCTCTGCACACAAGTACATTGGACCTGGATTTATGTTAATTAAAAGAGTTTCAAGAAAATGAACAATTCATAAAAAATTAAGAGAATTTGTGATTGCATGCTTCTTGACATTAGAAATAGTGTGTACATTGTGCAAATTAATTGCACTGGAAGTACTAGTTTGTTGTACAAAACGATAAGAAGATACTTGTTTTTGTTGCAAAAGTTACTTTTCCATGCGTTGTAATATTGAGTAAATAAAATAAATTTATCGAACACATCAGGGTTTCACAATTTTTTTTCTTTCATCGACCTCTATTAAAAAAGCGATTTTCTGTATCGTCCACCACATACGTTATTATCTATAGTATACAGTATAAATAATTGAAAGTCTAAACACAAACTAGTGGTGCTACAACAGCACGTACTTTCTCGCCCATATTTTCACACAAAATTACGCGAAAAGTACTCACATTTTCGAAAAATTGCACATGATTTTATTTCAAAATCTATCTTTAGGAAAACTTTTTATTTGAGAGGAAAATATCGTTATTCACAATTGTAGTAGTAAGAAAATGGTGAAAGAATTTTGAACTTATGCAATTTTCGAAAAATCGGTTTTCAACAAACATGAGATTTGCACCATTCTCTTCGACGCCCACCTACAAACTTCAATCCAAAACGATGGAGTCATTTTTGTTTAAATTTTAAAACTGTTCCAGAGTAATATAAAGTACGCGCCAAAATAAAAAAAATTGGCTTGAAATCCAAGGGGCTGCCATTGATATCAGCTAGATCGATTGCGGAATATCAATTTTGGAGAAAATCGGTTAAACTGTTTAGCCGCTAGCGTTGTTCATAGACGGACGGACAGACAGACGTTTTAAAAAACTGATGTTAGATTTCGCGAGGTTCCATGGTGTGATGACGATACTAGTGCGGTGCCCATAATCGTAGTTAAACTGCTTTACACTCAAGGGCAACAGAGAGGTACTTTACAAACGCATTAGTCTATCAACAACTGATAAGCGTCGTGAACCTTTTGAATGAAAGAAATAAAATTATAAGACAGTCAAAGAAATATTCGATAAATGCATAATCTCTCGTCCCAACGATGGTGGATTTCCTCTTCTTTTAGCTAAATAGTCAGGTCGAATTCAGTCGCTGTCTGAAGCAAATCTAAGAGCACCCCCAATCCCTTAGAGGTAGTTTTCTGTGGCTTCTCCGGTCAGTACCGAGAAAATGCGGCAGTTGTATCCTAATGGGTCTCGGATGACGCACGATCTTTCTTTCCTCATCCTTGGCTCCTCCTTTCCCTTGTATACATTACACATACGTGCACTACATTACTACATATTTCGCGAGAGCAGAAGTGAGCGCCGTCCCCGCAAACTGACGTAGAGGTTGCCGTGGGATGCTGCGATCTGGCAGGGGCGAAACACCCCCTCCCTAAGTAGTTGACGTACACGAAAACACACAATATGCACGTACTCAATTCCCCCCCTTAACTTAAACCAAATACTATAGAGGCAGAATAGGATACTCTGACACTCTTTTCATATCAAGAATGAAGAGTACAAATTTGAAAGATTTTTAGTTTATTTACGATCGTTTACTAAAGTTTCTCAGTGTGTTTAAAATGTCTTCATTTGGTCGTTACTAACTTTATTTATGACTGGGAGAGTTAATACTGATTGCACAAATTATAAAAATTCAGAAGAAGTGTTTTATTGTAATCCCTGATGATGAGAAATCGGAAATGCTTTATTATGTATAGACTTCTTCTCCAATTAAATGCATACATTAAATTATAAAATTACTGTTTTCTATTGTTTGTAGTATTTCATACCGTATTGTAGATTTACATTTATATCCCAAAAGAAATAAAATTTAATATATAAATATAAAAGAAAAAGAAAACAAATATATAAATTGAAATATATGTTGTGAAATTTGAATTTGTCGTTGAGATTCAAGATCACTTCGCTAGGTCCGCTAGTAAGCAGTTGTTTCCCATTTGTAGCATAAGGAAAATTCAAAGTGCCTTGCATTGCCTGTGTAGTATTTGCTTAAACCTTTCTATTATATTTAATATATTTTAATATACTCTACAATCTACGATACAATTAACATACTCTACATACTAGAGTATATACATTCTAATATACTCCACAATTAACATATTCTACAATCTACGATACCAATCTAAGAAATATATATTTCTTAGATTGGTATCGTAGATTGTAGAGTATGATACTGCATTGCACATCTAGAAGTATTTTAATCAGGTGAGCTGGAGTCACCATAAACGCCCGGTTCGGCCCACTGCATCCCGGAAGGACGTCCCACCCTCTTAGCGACAACTTAGCAGCCGGTTGGCCTCGGCGGCGGAGGCGGCCCAGCAGACGGGAGGCGCCGCAGGCAGACCCGGCTAATGTGCGGTTTAATGGAAAAGAAACCCCGTGGCGCGAGGCTACCGGCGGCCAACATAAATAGAAGACAAGTGCTGTGGATGCACAGTCTGGACATGCGTTAGAAGCTCTGTTGAATTCAAATTGGTTTTTAGGGAGGGTCATTGTGGTATGACACATCACCGGAGAATTACGAAATTGCATTCGAAATAATGGTGAATAAATAATTAAGTAGTCATGTAAAAGACATAAATGTAACAGATACAATTTTATATATTCTCATTTTCTAAATAATGGCTTTCCTTTTTCTTGATTAAACGTCCTCGAAAAGCATAATGAACAATTAAAAGAATGGTCTCATTTTCATGAAAATCCTTCATTTTTTAAAGATTACCTTAGTTAATTATTTCGGAACCTTCATACAACTACGATTTTCAAGCTAAGATTTTTTACAGAATGAAATTTGTTTTGTAAAGTCGGCTCTTGATACAAGGTCTTGTACAAATTTTCGAAAATATGAGCAGTTTTTGCGTAATTTGCATGAAATGTAGGCAATCTTTTCAAAACGGATCCAGTTTTTTCTTTAATTTGATTTTCCTTGTATCTAACCAAGGACTGTAAAAAATGGACGCTGGACTCTGTATTTTCGTAAATTACAAAAGTACAATATTGAAGACACACATTTTTGCGTAATTAATATCTATTCTAAAAACTAGTTTTTTAAAAAATGTGTTGTACTCTCACAATGTTTCCGACAAAAATTTGGCGTTATTTCCCATTGAAGTTAATGATGTTTATAAAGAAACATTTCTTCAAAAACAGTTTCAAATTTTATCTTCAAATATTTTCTATGGATTGAAAAAAGAACGCTTAAAAATGGCATTGGTCTCATTTCGTTCAGCGATCTGAATGTTCGCAAAATGCGTTAGTTACAAATAATGCGAGGGACCTTTACTTTTTAAAAGTCGGGGGGAAGCGAGCATTTCCGAGCGACTGCACCGGACAGCTAGGGGCATCAATAGATGTCACTGCAATGTCTCAGGCCGGGAGGTTTGAGTGAGAGCGTAGGCTTCCGCGGCCGGAGTCAGTATTTACTAGGCTGTCCAGGCGGACGCCGGCACCTTCGCCATGGACGCGGCGTCACCCGGACAGCTTAGTAAATCGGGAGGTTTGAGGTTCGAGTGCAGACACTAGCTAGATAAGCTAGGTCGAATTCAGCCGCTGTCAAGAGTAGAACTCTGGCGGCCGGCTGTTCTGATAGGTACTTTTCCCTGATTTCTCCGATCAACACCAGGCGAATATCGGATATTCCTAAACAAACGGGCCACGGACCGTGCGAGATCTTTTATTTCTCTTCCTTGTTATTTCTTCCCCCTTCCCTCCACATTCTCTCTCACTCACTCACTCACTCACTCACTCACTCACTCACTACAACACTTGTCCGGAGACCAGTCGGGAGCTTGTAGCTATTCAGTGGGTGATTTAATGATGGCGGAAGATCGCCGCCACCTCTGGCGATAAAAATCATGCACTACACATATGGTGCTAATAACCTTAGCTATAAACACGTTAGATCGCAAATAAATAAAAAAAACGAGCGACTGCGTTGTGTAGCGATACCGTGCTTTGTCTATTGACCGGAGAAACTTAGTTCGAATCTGGGCTAGGGAAAAATGTTTGCTTGTTGGAAACATTTTTGAAAGTTCATTAAGTAAAATATTATTACATAGCTGTTACAAATAAAGAGAGAAAGTTCGTGCTATTGTATCACCACAAATTATTTTTAAGCCTTGGGAAGGTTAACAATAGCTGTGTGACTGGTGACGTAGCCGTGTCAGTTACACACTAACAATTTAAGAACGAACCCGAGAGAGAATTTTCGAGAACATTTTTTGCTTATTGTAAACATTTTTGAAGGTTCATGTAGTAATATAATATTGTGAGAAAGTATGTGCTGTTGTACATCACTAGCGTTCTTTAGATTTGTTTCTCAGTTAAAACAAACTACGCTTAAAAAAGAATGTAGGGCCGAATGTCGTTAACTTCTCTGACCTTTCACATATTGCAAATGTTTATAATCTTTTCGGCCGTTGAATCAGAGATTCATTCACTAGAGATTCAGGTTTCGAAGTCAGAGGGATTCGTTCTCGCGCTCTAACGAGTCGGATCCCGAAGACCCGGAGCGCTTCACTTGTTTTCGCTCTGTCTACGAGCAAGGTGCCACACCATGGCCACAACTGTAATTTTATCAACGTTTCAATTAAAGTTTGTGTTACTGTGCCAAGCGAGACGGAGCCGTAAATCATTAGAATTTCAAGTGTTACAAGTTACAAGGTAAATTTTCAAAACAACTTAATAGTAGATTAATAACTTAATATAAGAGTACCAAAAACCTCCCCCAGTGGCGGCTGTTAATGTTAATACTGCACATCTATTTGTTTTTCCGCCTGAGAGGAAAGAAAAAATCAAAAAAGTAGTGAAATGGAGAACTATTGGATGACTACAGGTCACAATGATGGTTGCAATTGAAACTTTGTTACAATTCAAACACGTTATTATGGAAGCACGTTGAAATGAAGCAGTAGTCAACTAAGTGTGTATAGTTGTCTGTGCAATTTTTCATTGTTTATCAATTCGTTGTCTTTTGATTCTGAAGGTGGTAGTTCTGTGAATTTATAGAATGCAATTTTCAAAATGTTTGAAAATGAGAGTACAACTCTGAGCGAAGGAGCAACAGTTAATAAAAACAGAGGCTTAGTCTAAAGTAGCTCTATTCAAGAAATATTTATCAGAATAAAAACATTAAAGAAGTGTTTGTGCACTTCAAATCAGAATAAACACATATCATCTATCATGGGAACAGTTTAAAAATAATCATGTACATGTTGTTGAAGTAGGGAATGTACCTGTTATTCAGAGAGAAACTGCTAACTGAAAGATGTCATTTTTTTAACAATTTATAAAAGCTATTAGGATTGGTTAAAACAAATTCAAGTGCATGTAAATCAGCTGTATCAGATAAAGTAAAATCAGTGAGAGTAAACATGCAAATCCTTCAGTAAAGCTACCCAAAATAGAATTGATTAAATTTTCCCAAAGGGAGAATTTCAAAGCAGCATTTCAAGGTGTAGTTATTAATTCTTGGAATAATTTTCAAAGACTGTTATTTAAAGGAAATATTGGAGTGTAATTATTCACAACTTTTTTCTCCTTTATCCATCAAATAAGCAAATTTTTCAATAGCTAGTGATATGCTTACTACCAAGATTTGGGAATAAAGCTCTGACTACAACTTGAATAGTAACTGATATTTTTCCATTAAATAAAACAGAACGTTCATCAATTTCTTCATTGAGGAAATGTTTTGATACTTTTAGGACTAATATTAATATGTTAAAAGCATTGGGGCATCCTATTGAGAAATGTGGTATATTCTCTGTTTACCTTCTCTCTTCAAAAAAAGATACACAAACAAGACATGAATGGGTATAGGAGAATAAGTCTGATACATTACCCACTTATAAGAAACTAGCTGAATTTTTGAAGCATTTTTGTTATGTTTTGGCAAATTCCAACATTATTAACAACCTTCTGCTTACTAAATAATAAAGCTGAAACAATGTTAGCAAAGAAAATGTGAAAGAAATCTTATAATCCACAATCCTTAATGACATCAATTACAATTGTTCTTTGTGTACTGAGGGTCATCAATTATTAGCTTGTTTTTTTAAATAAGTAATTTGTAGAATGTGTAACCATTTGAAAACAATGAATGCTTGTATAATTGTTTTAAAACACAGCATTACCATCAAAGATTGTAAATCTTCTGGTTGCAAAAATGTCACGGAAAGCATAATAAATAGATTCTTTCTGATGTGCCTAGTAGAATATAGAACTGTGTCTCAATAAAACAAGACACCAAACACTGATGCACGAGATCCATCATGTTCTCAAAGTTTATTAACTGAGTAGATGCATGTGAATTTTAATTACCAATTGTAGATCGCCATACAGTTACCCCCTCTCCAAAGACCCCTCTACGTATAAATATTCGTAGTAACGTAATACACGTCGATTCAGATATGTTTTGCTTCTGAAAGCAAACACTCTAATCATTTAAAAAATATATACATAACATTCGCCTGTCCTTCAGTTTCTAGAATCAATTTAAAGTTAAATTTGTATTTTCAATTATTGGGATAAACCTCTGGTCTGCCTCACTCACTTTCCTACTAAGAAAATAAAAAAATATATAAAAGTAAAAAATAATATTCTACTCACGTCTAGACTTTCTGTGGAGTATAATAAATATTTCCTGTTGCTTGTATAAATTGCCTCATAATAATACTTACACTTATTTGACGTATCTCCTCATGTATTCAATATGATAAGTATGAAATTGTTTTTTAGCGTTAGCCACGCCGAGGCAATTGGTGCTAAATTGCAGCCCAGATACTTTCAAATGTATGGATATCCTCATTATTTTTGGGATTCTTGAAATGCAAAGAATGGGTGACGATGAAATGCCAATATCCTTCATTATTTAGACAATTACAAGAACTCCAACAATCGGAAATTACAATGGATCTTGGTTTTAAAAATTTTTATCATGTCTAAAAGAACCTCTTTTCCTCTATTTTCAACAACTTTGAGAAAACAGCATTTTGACACTCGTATAATGCCTCTTAATACCCATTTTCCTTTTACTCTTTTTCTTCTATTAACTTTTTTTACCAAATTAACTTTCATCTATTTCAACAATCACTCCTTAACCGCCCAAAAATATACTTTCTCTTTCCAGAATTGTTCCGCTCTTTTCCATTTTTGCATCTACATTTACATCAGTTATAGTGTGTTAAATATTTTCTCGCGCAAAGTCATACTAAGAACCTAAATCATACTTAACTTAGCCCCACTGAATCATTATGTACAGATTCAGACCTTTCTAGCAACGAAACGGTGCAATTTTTTGTCGATAATATTATTTATCTTTCACACTTCATACCAAAGTGACTCAGTGAGAGCGTTGCTGTCGAGGAATAATTTGAAGGCAGCCAATGTAGCCGAAATATGCGTACCTCATAGACAACATTACGACTGTGATAGGGGAGAGTTAGTTGTTTTAAATAGCGATATGTTCTTTTCTGAGTGTGTATGTTTAACTGTATGTAAGTGTACGTGATATAATATATTTAAGGGTGGTCCGGCATATATTAACGGCACGAACAAATTCATTGTGCCAAGTTCAAATTGATTGTACAAGTTCGAACTGTTTGACTCTTCAGAACAATATATTACGAAGGGAAGATCTGTGTTGAACTTTAACAGTAATTGTAAATGTTGATGCCTCTCGTGTGAAGACTGACATATCTGTATTGTTAAATAAAAATGGCAACTGGCATATCTGTATTGTTAAATAAAAATGGCAACTGTCATAGAAAACATGTATCTACACATTACCCATATACAGGTAATGTTTTGGATTTTTATTTTATATTTTTATTTCTGTTACACTCACCTTAAAAGGAAAGGAATGATGAAAAATAACATAATTACAGAGTCAGATTTGAAACCCGCGCGCAGATCATCACTACAATGGCCTTCGATGCCGCTTTCAACTTATCCCGTGTCCTGTACTGTCCGTCCACGAAATTGAAGGAGCTCGGGCACTTGGCCTCAAGCTGATTGCCAATAGCATCGCAGTCAAACATTTTGCCGAGCTAAGTTTGAATTTGACGCAACATCGAAGTTAAATAACAATAGTAGGAGTGAATCACACTAGGCTATAATTAATGTGGTTACATAAATTTATTCTAGCGTAAATAATGAATATCAAGAACGTTTATCGTTTTTAGTGATGCCTTAGATCGCAGGTAATATTTCAGTTCTCGAATTGACGACTTCGAATTTTAAAACTGAAAGGGTCGGGAGAAGATGGGGAATCAAGCCTTTTACCATTGAACTCTTCATTGATACTCATTGATACATTTGTTTCTCGTGTGAAAGTCAGCTAGTCTCACTTCTACCGAACCTAGCTTACGTAGTTGATGAAGGGAAAAGGGTCGACGCGATAGTAATAGATTTTGCCAAAGCTTTCGATGTTGTTCCACACGATCGTCATATAAAGAAATTAATAGATTCGGGTTTGGTAACGTGGTTAAACGAACTACTTTGGTACAGGAAACAGAAGGTCCGAATCGGAAATTACTTATCAACCTCGAGAAACGTCACGTCAGGAATTCCACAAGGAAGTGTCATCGAACCATTCATGGTTCTTGCCTTCGTGAATAAATTGCCGAAGAATTTAGCTTCAAAGTACGACTCTTTGCAGATGACTGCGTAATTTATAGGGTTATATACTCTGACAAGGACGAGGATATTTTGCGGTGAGACTTAGACAAATTACACATCTAGGCGGAGACACACGGCATGGAAATAAACAGTTAAATGAGCAAGTCCATCCCGTTTGGTAGGCATCGAAGTTATAACGAATTTGCGTACTTGCGTGTTTTGCGTGTCTTGCAAATATTTAGGAATACAGCTAGACAATAAACTGAGCTGAGAAAATCAAGTCCACATTGTTGTAAGGAATGCATGGAAATCTTTATATTTTCTTATGCAGATTCTTAAGAAGAGTGCAGCGAGACCCAAAGAACTAGCATATACGAGTATGTCATATGTGTGACACATATTAGAATATGGTGCGATATGTTGGGACCCATACATTATTTTGCAGAAAAGGAATTTAGAAAAGGTCCAGCGTAGAGCATCAAAATTTACTTTCAGGAGTACTAAGAGTAAAGAACTATGGAAGTCACTCGGAAGGAGGACATTAAAGTCGCGTCTCTATGCTATGTATAAAGCGTACATAGGCCTCCGAGCGTGGAAAGAAATTCAAAGTCGATTAGGGAAGCCTACATATTACGGCAGAGCGGATCACATGCCCAAAATTCAGACAATAATTCAGAAAATGGACGTTGGGAAATATTCATTTGCGAATCGAACTCTTGGAGACTGGAACAATTTGCCTGTGACAATCTTCGATCCTTTTTCTCAAATCCTGAGCAAATTTAAAAATAAATTAGTTTCCTGAATGTTGATATGTATTACAAACACCTTTAATATTGTTCAATGTAAGTAACTATGTGTACTGTGTAATTAAGTGTTATTATTATTATTATTATTATTATTATTATTATTATTATTATTATTATGTACAGTGGCGTGCAGTGCAGTTATAGTGGAGAATTGAGTGAAACGAGTGTGTAAGAACGACAGCACAATTATCCACAGTGCGGTGAAGTAAAGTGGAATGCTATGAAAGATTGCACGAT